GGGGCGGAGAAATCGTGCACCGGTGCGGACGCGCCCTCAGTGGCCCTCGCTGTGCGCGCGCACGTGATTGCAACCTCTCCAAGCCTCAGGCTTCTGATCTGCAAAATGGGGCCAATCATAGCACCTGCTCCCAGGGTAGTTCCGAGGAGAGTAAAGGCGTAATGACCACGAGGCCTCGGCCCACGGCCTGGCACGTGCACGGTGCTCACTTCTCATGGTAATGCCAGGAAGATGCTGCTGAGCTGACTGAGGCTGCCAGAGTCGTTCCTACCCCCTTTGATGTGTCACTCTCTCAGAACATGCCTGACCATATTCTGAGCCGTTACCCTAACCTGACCCTGGGCTGGGCTGGCGCCTGAGGGGGGAGGGTGCTGCAGCCGGAGGACTCCCTGTGACCTGATGTCCACGCGTGTGTGTCCCCAGGCTACAGCGGCGAGCTGTGTGAGGTGGACGAGGACGAGTGTGCAGCAGGCCCCTGCCAGCACGGGGGCCAATGCCTGCAGCGCTCTGACCCGGCCCTCTACGGGGGCGCCCAGGCCGCCTTCCCCGGCGCCTTCAGCTTCCGCCATGCTGCTGGCTTCCTGTGCCGCTGCCCTCCAGGCTTTGAGGGTGAGCTCCCTACCCCTTTCCAGGGCAGAAGGTCCGCCGGTGTTCAGATGCACCCGGAGGGATGCGGGGTGGGTTCACGCGCCTCTCTTTGGGCCTCAGTCTCTCTAGCTATAACATGGGCCCTTCCAGGTCCAGACTGGCTCTGAGGGCACAGGTGGGAACACGGCTGGGCCTCTTGCAGGGGACGACTGCAGCATGGACGTGGACGAGTGTGCCTCCGGGCCATGCCTCGGTGGAGGCAGCTGCCAAGACCTGCCCAACGGCTTTCGGTGTCACTGTCCAAGTGGCTACACAGGTGCTTGGGGGTGGGGTGGGCACCGGGGCAGGGCAAGGTCAGAGCTGGTGGGTCTGGGGTGGGAAGGCTCCTCTGGCTGATGTGTGGAGGCTGGGTTGATGGGGAGAGGGAATTAGAGAGGAGGTGGGTATAGTGGCCCAGGTGTCATTCAAGTTTGGGCCGAGCTGGGACCTGGGCTTTGGAGGTGGGAATGCAGGGAATAAACAGATTGAGAAACATTTAGGAGGACACCTGCAGGTCCTGAGGGTTATCCAGGTGCGAGTGGAAGGTGTCAGGGATGCGGCTACATGTGACATTGGGTGGAGGACAGTGAGTGCAGCTTTGTCCACACTGAGTCTGTCGGAGGGGCACCCCCCAGGAGGAGCCTGGGTGGGGGCTGTTGGACAGGGATCTGGGGCCCAGGGCTGTGGCCTGGGCTGGAGTCAGAGACTAAGGGTCAGAAGTGTCACCCTGACAGCCAGGGCCACGAGTGGCCGAGGTTGTCGGGGAGAGTGGGTGGGTGATGGGCAGAGAACCCCAGGCACCTGGCATCAGAGGGCTGGGCAGAGGTCGAGGGGCCTGCGGGAAGGACAGAGGCCCTTGGGCCAGGACAGGGAAGGGAGAAGGGGGGTGGTTACGGGGAGCTAGAGCCAGTGTCTGGAGAAGGATGAGCTTGACCTTGGGGGAGCTGGGGCCTGTGGGGCAGGAGTTGGGGGTGCAGCAGCCTCTCCCTGCCTCGGTGCAGCAGATGCACAGACACACAGACACCCTCCCACACGGACACCGGTGAACCCAAGGAACTCCTCACTCACCGCGTGTCCCTGCCCCTGTGGAATGCCTGTGGCACTTCCCCCACACGGCCCACATTCCTGCCCGGCTCGCTGCCTCCTCTCCCTGGCAGGGCTCCTCGACACAGGCTCCCCCGCCCAGGGGAAGGAGGTGGTGATCACACCGTCGCCTCTACCCTTCATCCACTCAAAGACCCTGGGGCTCAGTGCCTCCACCCTTGGGTGGCCAACTCCCCTGGGCGCCCCGCCCTGTGGGCTGCAGTCCCCGAGTCCTGCCTCCTGGGTGCTGGCACACAGTGGGTCCACCAAGGCAGCTTTGAAGAGCATTCTCTGTGTATTTGTTACCCCTGACCACCGCCCCATGAAGTGGGGGTTTAAGTCCCCACCTTCTAGAGGAGGCCTTGGAGCCTTCAGAGAGGGAGTGTCACCCCCTCAGGTTCCCCAGCGTCAGCAGCAGCTGAGCTCAGCTGATGGGTGACGGCGAGGTCAGATCTCTAAGGTCAGAGACCAGGAGGGGGAATCCCGGCTGTGGGGCTGGGCTCCTTGCCACCGTCCACCCCCATCCTCCCTTTGGTTCATGCTGGCGTGGGGGAGGCCAGTGCCTGGCATTCCTGAGCCGGGTCTGAAGGAGGCAGCCAGACCAGGCCGGGAGCGCTGCTCCCCAGCCTCGGCGGCCGCCCAGCACTCTCACACATCCGGGGAAATGCGATGGGGCTGCGGGCCCTGTGGACCTTCCTGGGGGGCCTGTGGCTCCTGGCAGGTATGGAGAAGGGTGGCTCTGGGCAGGGGAGGTGGAGCTAGCTGTCCTCAGAAGGAGACTGTGCTGCTTGTGTGCTGACCGGGTCAGGATTCAAAGCCTGGTGGCTTCTTGGGGCCTATGTCCCTCCGGCTGGGATATTGGAGCAGGGCTAGCCTCGGTGGTTTTGTGGAGTTTCGGGCTGAACTGGGGTTGGGCTGTGGCCTCTTGACCTAAGCTAGGGCCAGAGCACCTGGCATGGGAGCTCTGGGAAGGAGGGTGAGGTGGTCCCTTCACAGCTTATATGGGCCCCTTGGGAGGTTAGAGCCTGGGGGCTACCAGGAGTGCCACAGATGCATGCCCACCTCTACCTACTCCTCCCTTTTATCACTCTGTCCACAAAAGCCATGCTAGGCCCTTTGCTGGGTGCCAATGCTATACTCAAGCCCCTGGAGGAGACCTCAGCTGCCCAGACAGATACTTTCAATACAGAGTTCTGGGTCGCTGTGCCTGGATGTGGACAGGGAATTGGGAGTGACACACTAGCTTGGGGTTGGGAGTCAGAGAAAGCCACCGAGGGGACTGGCCCTTTGAATTTGGGTTTTATAGAATGAATAGGAGTTTGAAAGGCAGGGTAAGGGAAGATGAGGCATTCTAAGCAGAGGGAACAGTGTGAGCAAAGCCGCAGAGGCAGGACTTCACAGGAAAAGCTCGGAGGAACAGGTGGTTCAAGGTGTGTAGGGAGCAGGGTTGAGACTTGAGTGCCCGGTCGTGCCCAGCCCCAGAGGAACCTTGAGTGCCAGGGTGAGTGATTGGACCTTCGGCAGCAGAGGAACCTGGCGGGTGATCTTTAGAACCAGATCTCTGGCTGCTTGTGGAGATGGATGGCAGAGGGGTTCTGCAGTCAGGCAGGCGAGGCAGGAGAGGTGGGTGGCAGATTGGAGAGTATTTAGGGGATTGAATCTGCAGGGTGTGGAGAGAAAGGGGTATCTCGGGTTCCAGCCTCCGGGGACCTCAGGGGGCCACGAAAAACCCTTTGGAAATTGGGAATCGGTTTGGTTGATAGGTACTGAGGTCCCGGTCCCAGGAAGCTGGGAAGCTCTGGGTCCAGACTGTGGTTCTGGCCTTGGGTGCTGAGCCTTGGCCTGGTCTCTCCCGAAGGCCTGACGTGTCAGGAGGAAGTGGACGAATGCCTGTCGGAGCCTTGCCTCCACGGGGGGACCTGTGATGACATCATGGCAGGCTACACCTGCCGGTGCCCGGAGGACTGGGGTGGGCATGACTGCTCTGTGCAGCTCACTGGCTGCCAGGGCCACACTTGCCCACTGGCTGCGACCTGCATCCCTACCTTTGAGTCTGGAGTCCACAGTTATGTCTGCCGCTGCCCCCCTGGTACCCACGGACCTGCTTGTGGCCAGAATACCACCTTCTCCATGGTGGCTGGGAACCCTGTGCGGGCATCAGTACCAGCCGGTGGGCCCCTGGGTCTGGCACTGAGGTTTCGCACCACCCTACCTGCTGGTGCCCTGGCCACTCGCACTGATACCCAGGACAGCCTGGAGCTGGAGCTGGCACTGGTGGCAGCCACACTTGAGGCCACGCTCTGGAGCCACGGCAGTCCTGTTCTAGTCCTGAGGCTGCCAGACCTGGCCCTAAATGACGGCCACTGGCACCGAGTGGAGGTGACACTCCGCCTCGAGGTCCTGGAGCTGCGGCTCTGGCATGAAGGCTGCCCTGCCCAGCTCTGCGTGGCCTCCAGCTCTGTGCCCCAGGCTCCTACGGCTTCCCCGGCCACGCCGCCTGCCGGGTTCCGCTCTGTCCAGCTGGGCGGTGCAGACTTTGCAGGCTGCCTCCAGGACGTCCATGTGGATGGGCACCTCCTGCTGCCTGAAGATCTTGGGGAGAACGTCCTGCTAGGCTGCAGGCGCCACGAGCAGTGTCAGCCTCTGTCCTGTGCCCACGGGGGGGCCTGCGTGGACCTGTGGACTCACTTCCATTGCGACTGCCCCCGGCCCTACAGTGGACCCACATGTGCTGATGGTGAGGAGTGAGCCAGGTGGGCCCCAGGGCAGAGGCCGTGCCTTCCCCCAGCCCACACGCCTCATGCCTGGCCCCCTCTCCCCCCTGCAGAGGTTCCTGCAGCCACATTCGGCTTGGGGGGCGCCCTGAGTTCTGCATCCTTCCTGGTCCCTCGGCTGCCAGGCCCCAACCTCACGGTGTCCTTCCTCCTCCGCACTCGGGAACCTGCTGGCCTGCTGCTCCAACTTGCCGGCGACTTGGCAGCTGTCCTGACGGTGTTCCTGAGCGAGGGCCAGATCCGGGCCGAGGGGCGGGGCGGTCCTGCTCTGGTGCTGCCCGGACCCTGGGACGATGGGCTCCGCCGCCTGGTGACACTCAGCTTCGGGTCTGAGCAGCTGCAGGGCTCGGGGCTGCAGGTGCATGTGGGTGGGAGACGCCTCCCTGCGGACGCCCAGCCTTGGGGTGGGCCCTTCCGCGGCTGCCTCCAGGACCTGCGACTCAATGGCCTCCACCTCCCCTTCTTTCCGCTGCCGCTGGGGAACGCAAGCCAGCCCCGCGAGCTGGGCAGCAGGCAGGCCTGGAACCTCACCGCGGGCTGCGTCTCTGAGGACCTGTGCAGGGTGAGTGCTCTGGCAAAGGGGTGGGGCCCTTTTCCGCCCTGCACCTCTGGGTTAGCACGTCTTCCTCCTGGTGAGGAAGGCACTCTGCCCAAGGTGCCACGGTTAGAGAGGGGCAGCGAAGGGCTTGCATTCAGCTCCTCTCTGACCCAGCTGCTCTGGCCCTCTGGTCCTTTTCTGAGACCGACACCCTGACCCAGGCAAGGGCTCTCTCAGCCTCTGTGCAGGATCTGTGTGGGGACACAGGGACCCACTTGGCTCATGAACAAAGACCAGCCCTGGAATCAGAAGAGCCTGGGTGTGAACTCTGGCTCCTCTACTTACTGGCTGGGTGACTCAGGCAAATGGCTTCTCCTCTCTGAGCCTCAGTTTCCTCATCTGTAAAGTGGGGATAGTGACTTCCACTCCATTTGTTTGAGGAGGTAATGCGCCTGTAGTAGGTGCTCAGTTAAGAACCAGTGCAGGGACGGTTATGCTACTGCAGGCCTGAGCCAATCCCTGTCCCGATTCTCCTGCAGCCCAGCCCCTGTCTCAATGGTGGGACTTGCCTGGTCACCTGGAATGACTTCCACTGCACCTGCCCTGCCAACTTCACAGGGCCCACGTGTGCCCAGCAGCTGTGGTGTCCTGGCCAGCCCTGCCTCCCGCCTGCCACCTGTGAGGAGGTCCCTGATGGCTTTGTCTGTGAGTGTGTGCCCTGGGCATCCCCCATGCTGGGTGCTGGACACTCAGGCTGGGTTAGACCCCACCCCTAACCTCAGGGCTCACAGTAGACCAGGATGCCAACAGTTCCAGCCACGTGTAGCTGGGCCACTGCATCCAGCAGGACAAGCTTTCTAGAAGGGAGAGAGCATTCGCTAGATTTTCAAGGTCAGATAAAACTCTGACATGGCGTAGGGAAGGGCATATCAGGGAGGGGAAAGAACATGTGCAAAGGCCCTGAGGGTTAGAAGAACAATTTGACACAAGTACAGGTATGGGATGGCTACGTTGCCAGGGGCCTTGAAAGTTGGGCCAGGCAGCTCAGGACTTCTTCCCAAGGGCAGTGGGGTGCCAAGGGAGGATTTTAAGTTGGAGAAAGACATGATTAGCATTTTTAAAAGCTGACTGCATTTCATTAAAATGCATGATCGACATTTTAAAAATCTGCGTAAAAAAAGAGGACTCCATGCAGTGGAGAGTAGGCCTCCGTGATGAGATCAGGCAACTTCAGGAGGAGGGAAAGGGGAGAGGAAGGGGCGGCAGATTTTTCGAGGGGTTATTGTTGCCTGGTCTGCTCCCTGGAGGGTAGGGTGGGCGCAGTCTGGAGGAAGGGGATTGGGAGGGGGTGCAAGTGCAGGTGGGGCCGCAGATTCTGGGGTTAGATGGTAGGTGGCTGTGTGTTGCCTCTCCCCATCCTCAATGGTGGGAGTGGAGGCGGCAGATGGTATCCCCTGCGTGTAGGGGTTG